CTCTTGCTTGTGCTTGCTGGCAAATTCTTCTAGGTTGGTCTTAAACATGTCCAACTGTTTTGACATCTGTTAAGAAAGACAAGCGGGAAAATCTGAGCAACCCAAGTGTAATCAAGGCTAAAGATAGGTCCCTAGCCTGGTGGCAGAGAAAAGTTTAAAATAACCAGTGTCTGGCTGGTGAGATGGCTCAGCGGTAAAGGTACTTGCTATGAAGCCTGACATTCTGAATTTTATCCCTGGACCACACATGGTGGAAGGAGAGAATCAATTCCTGTACATTTAAATTGTTCTCTGACCATCTCACATGTATTGTGGCCGAGCCCACATACTACACACAAATAAATGCAACAAAAAACAAAAAGAAGCAGTTTCCTTCAGATCCAACACTACCCTATTTATTATGTGCTTTCTCTGTTTGTTTGGGTCCTTTTCTTGAGACAAGGTCTCATGGAGCCCATCTGGGTTTGAGCTCACTGTAAAATAGTGGAAGATGATCCTCTGGCCTGTACTCGCCAGGTCCTGAGATGGTGCGCATGTGCAGTGGTGTTCCGCTCTGTGCTCTCCCTACCTATACGTTGCACAGTTGTGTTGCAGGCAGAAGGGAGATGAGATTGTCTCCTCCATTCTAAAATCTGTATTTGTGTTCAGTATCCCTGTCCTGAAGAGCAACATGCATGTCTAATGCATTTTTCTCTTCTTCCTGGAGAAATTCATTCAGCTGAAGGTACATCTAACAATCTGTTTTTTCTTAAAAATGAAAGAATAGGATGCTCCTGCGGCAGGAAGAGTGAAGACTAAGAATTGGGATTGTATTGATTACTGAACCTTTAATCTTGTGCCTCCAGATAAAGAATTGCTATGGTGGAGCATGCTGGAGCCCAAAGCCATGTATAAGCCTTAGGAGATTGTAGGATCTTTATTTGAGCTGTATAAACTCTCTCTGTGCCTGATTAACAAAGAACAGCTTTTAGGCTACTGAGAGGAGTCACTCCTGGTCCAACATCTCCTCATATTTCACAGAAAATTACTCCAAATCTCTGTGTTCTCTTAATAACCTCTCTCAGTTAAAGCTCATGTGCCATCTTCCCTAGAAACAAGAACTTTTTAAATTTTATTTATTTATTTTTTGAGTTTGATTTTTCAAGACAGGGTTTCTCTGTGTAACTTTGGAGGTCACGCTGGAACTTGCTCTTTAGACCAGGTTAGTCTCGAATTCAGAGATCCCTATCTGTGCTGGGATTAAAGGCATGAACCACCACCGCCCAGTCTTAATTATTTATCTCTTAATATTTATTTATTTTATGTGTGCATGTTTGAGTCTATATACGTGTACCACATGTGACAAGGGCCTAAAGAGGTAATACGGGTTTTGGATGCCTTGGAACTGGAATTACAGGCACTTGTGAGCTGCCACGTGTGTTCTGGAAATCAAAACCGGTCCTCTGCAAGAGCAGTAACCACTCTTTTTATGAGACAAGGTTTCTCTGTGTAGCCGATTTCATCGGCGGCTTCCTGACACTCCAGGGCACTCATTCCGGAGCTCCGGAGAAGCCTGTCTTCTGCCAATTGTTAGAAGGCGATTGAGGGGAAGAGAACTCCGCTCCGGGAGAATTGGATGTCTCGCGGGGAGAGTAGGCTGCGGCCCGCCCTCCTCCCCGCTCACCTCCGCGAGTTTCTTCTTGGCGATGGCGCCAGCTCCCACCCCGCGCCGGTGCATCCCCACCCCGGGCCGGCGGGCCGCCCCGCAGCCGGGACACCAGCTCTCTGCGTCCCTGGTTCTCCTGCCGGCTCCCAACGCGGAAGCCCGGTGCCTTGCGTCATCCGCGAGCGCCGGAAGTCGCGCGCCCACTTCCTGCCGCCAGTCTTGCGCGGGGAGTAGGGGCCCCCTCGCTTTTAGCTGGGGCCACGTTGCACGAAGCCCAGACGACGTGGAAGGCGCGAACCCTGGTCTGTGTTGTATTTCTCTATGCAACCACGAACGTGGGTGCCTGCTGTTCTGAGGCTCCAGCGCCTAGAGAGCAACTCATGCTTCTGGGACATCACCAAGTCTTGTGTTGACCATGAAAGGACCATTTTTTTCCAGACAGGGTCTAACAATACATCCTTGGCTGGGCTGGAGCTCACATTGTAAACTAAGCTGGCTTCGAATTTACAGAGATCTCCTGTCCCTACCTTAGAATGTTGGGATTAAATGCATGCCCCATTACGCCCAGCTGAGGGTGCCACCTTGAACAAAAGCCAATATTAAAACATTCTTAGCCGGGCGGTGGTGGCGCACGCAGGTGGAGGCAGAGGCAGTCGGATCTCAGTGAGTTCGAGACCAGCCTGGTCTACAAGAGCTAGTTCCAGGACAGGCTCCAAAACCACAGAGAAACCCTGTCTCGAAAAAACCAAAATAAATAAATAAATAAATAAATAAAACATTCATAGAAGAAGAAGCAGCACTCTGAAAGTTTTGTGCCATGCACTACCTAACTTGCTTTGTTTTATATTTTAACAAAACCCTCAGAATCGTGAGTTGATATTGCATTTCACAAGAGATCTGGGAATCTGCCTTAAATTACTTAGGATTTAGCCATGACTCAAATTCAAGTTATAAGCTGTAAATTCTTGGTATTATGGATTTGGTTTGTTCGTTGAATCAGGGTCTTTACATAGTGCTGGCTGACTGGAACTCACTATGTAGACCAGGCTGCCCTGGAACTCATTATGTAGACCAGGCTGCCCTGGAAATCACAGATTCTTGTTGCCTCCTGAATGCTGAGATTAAAGGTGTTTGGCACCATGCTGGTCTGTTAACTGTAAATTCTTCTTGTTGTTTTTGTTTTTTCAAGACAGGGTTTATCTGTTTAATAGCCCCTGTTATCCTGAAACTCAGTTTGTAGACCAAGCTGGCCTCAACTCAGACAGAGATCTACCTGCCTCTGTCTCCTGAGTACTGGGATTAAAGAAGTGTTCCACCACCGCCCAGTTTAGCTGTACATTCTTAATCTAACTCAAAATCTCTGCAAAAGAATTCAACAGGTAAACTTTATTATGTCGGAAAGCATTCTGTGCTGTGGCAGACGGGCTTACTGCATGGACTTCTTGTCTGCCTCTCACTGGCAGTGTCATGCACAGTTAACACTTGCTACCATGTTAAAGAGCTGGTGAGGCTTTAGATGCGATTAAGAACTAAATAGAGGGCTGGAGAGATGGCTCAGAGGTTAAAAGCATTGGCTGCTCTTCCAAAGGTCCTGAGTTCAATTCCCAGCAACCACATGGTGGCTCGCAACCATCTGTAATGGGGTCTGGTGCCCTCTTCCGGCCTGCAGGCATACACACAGACAAAATATTGTATAAATAATAAATAAATAAAAACAAAGTAGAGAGTCTTTTACATCGGCTGGCTTGTAAGAAGAACATTATACAAAGAGAGAAAAAAGTATGTAACTCTTTTTGAGTGTTGGTTGCTCCCTTCAGATATCCAAGACCCCACAAATGTAGATTCAAACTTCTCTCTGAGATATTAAATTCTTTTTTTTTTTTTTTTGGTTTTTTGAGACAGGGTTTCTCTGTGGTTTTGGAGCCTGTCCTGGAACTAGCTCTTGTAGAGCAGGCTGGTCTCGAACTCACAGAGATCCGCCTGCCTCTGCCTCCCGAGTGCTGGGATTAAAGGCGTGCGCCACCACCACCCGGCTGAGATATTAAATTCCTAACCGGACTGTGGTGGCTCACGCTTTAATCCCAGCTACGAGAGGCAGAGGCAGGCAGATCTCTGAGTTTGAGGCCAGTCTGGTCTACAAGAGCTAGTTCCAGGACAGGCTCCAAAGCCACGGAGAAACCCTGTTTGGAAAAAAAAAAATATTAATCTCTTTTTTTTTGTTTGTTTTGTTTTTCGAGCCGAGTTTCTTTATGGCTTTGGAGCCTGTCCTGGAACTAGTTTTTGTAGACCAGGCTGGCCTCAAACTCATAGTGATCTGCCTGCCTAAATTCTTTTATTAGTATTTTTTATTATTTAAAGTTTTATTTCCAGTGTTCTGCCTGCATGTCTACAAAGCAGAAGAAGGTGCCATTGTCACTATAAAGTGTACCTATCTCATTGTAGACAGTTGTGAGCCACCATGAGGTTGCTGGAAATGAAACTCGGGACCTCTGGAAGAGCAGCCAGTGTGCTCAACCTCTGAGCCATCTCTTCAGTTCCCTTCTTTATTGTCTGTGTATTAGTATGTGGGCACGCATGCCACAGTGCATGTGAGGAAGTCAGAGGACAACTTTGTGAAGTCTATTTTCTCCTTGCATAGTAAGTTTTGTCATGAAGAATCAGTAAAATATAGCCAATATGAAGAGTCATTTCTAGATCTGCAGAGATGACTCATTAGTTAGGAGTACATGTCGCTGTTTCTGTTTTGTTTTGTTTGTTTTTCAAGGCAAGGTTTGTGTAATCCTGACTGTCCTGAAAGTAGCTCTGTAGACCAGGCTGGCCTCAAACTCGCAGCTATCCACCTGTCACTGTGTCCTGAGTGCTGGCAATAAAGGTGTGCACCAGACATGTTACCTTTTGCAGAAATCCTGGGGTTAATTCCCATCACCCACATGGTGGCTCATAATCATCCATAACCCAAGTTCTGGGATTTCCGCACTTGTTAAAATAAAATAAATAAACTTTTTATTTCCAGTAATTTCTAAGTCAAGCTTGATGGCTTATACCTGAAATCCCAGCATCCAGAAGACAGAGGTAGGCAGATCTCTGAGAGTTCAAGGCCAGCTTGGTTTACATAGTGAGTTACAGGACAGCCAGAGCTACAGGGAGATACCCTGTCTCAAACAAACAAAAATGTAATTTCCAGTTTGCTAAGAGCATGCGCAGAGGCATGACTGGAAGTGTTGCTTTCCTCGGGAGGCATGGACACACCCAGGATACACACAACCGTGCCCAGTAAGGGCTCAGCTGACATTTAAATAAGTTTTCAGAATAGACACCACGATTTACTTTAGCTCAAGACTTTATTGGTTTGCTTCTCTCAGACACTTTGGACTTTGGACCAGGGCAGAAGCAGGAGCTGAGCAAGCAAAGGGCAGAGTCCAGTCCTCCTCTGGGCTAGGTCAGTCACTCAGACCTGGAAGAGGGGAGACAAGGAAAGAGAGGTAGTTACCAAGAGTAAGCGCAGGAAATTTATCCTGGTGCCCAGGCATAGAGAAACCACTCCTACCTGCAAATAACCTTTCTTTGTTTTTGAGACAGGGTTTCTCTGTGTTTCAGCTCTGGCTGTCCTAGAACTTGCTTTGTAGGACAGACTGGCCCCAAACTAAGACATCCTCCTGCTTCTACTCCCAAGTTCTGGAATCAAAGCTGTGGACACCATGCCTGGCTACAATTTTCTTTTTCTTCTTGTTTGTTGTTTTAGCTTTAATTTGGGGGGTAGGTTATCACTACATAGCCCTGGCTGTTTTAGAACTCACTGGTGTAGACTGGTCTTGGGCTTGTAGACAATCTTAATGAGGTCCTCCCGCCAAGGGCTAGGTGACAGGTGTGAGACCCACCCCCACTATAGCTCTGATTTTAATCAATATGCTGAGGTTCTGAATGGGTAGGTACTTTGCTGGTGTGTGTTTAGACATAGATCTGAATGAGGTCTAAGGATAACAGTGCGTGTAGTGGCACACACCTATAATTCCAGTGCTGAGGAGACACAAGGATCATGAATTTGAGACCAATCTACATTACACAGGGCGCTCTGGACCAACCCGGGCTAAGACTCAAAAGTAGAACATTTCCGTAGCAATTCCAGAGCCCTGGGTTCAATTCCCAACAAGACATACATGTGCACACAGTCAATGAGAGAAACACACACATATTGTGTGTCACCTGGAAGCCTAAACTTCTAACTAACAATCTTGCAACATCCCCATAGCCTGGTGTCCCCCTCCTGAGCCGGCAGAGCTCTATTTGGTCCACCATCCAGGCCAGCAGCTCTTGAATCAGCAAGCCCCTGAGCACATCTTCATCATTGGGGTTCTTGGGCAAGGAACTGCATGGGAGAGAGATTGCAGGAGCCTAGATGGTTTGTTTTTGGATAGAATCTCACTCTGTAATCCTGAATAGCCCAGAACTTACTATGTAAACCAAATTGGGATGCCTCTGCCTCTGGAGTGCTGGGATGAGAGCATGTGCGAACATCTGCTAGGGAGCAAACACAGCTGGCTTCCCCGGGCTATCTCCACTCTCAGGTCCCTACCTTCTCTTGTGTGGGACCCTATCTGGTTCTGTACAACCACAGAATATATGTTCCTCAATTCAGGCACAATAAACTACAGTATTGCAGTGACATAGCTTATCCCACCACCTCTAACAGCATCACAGACTGCATCCCAGTGACCCCAGAGAGACCGTCCCTGAGCATCCATTCATTACTTCTTCCCAGAACGGGAGGCTGATTGCAGGGGTCTGGTTTGGAAGAATGTCCTGGTCTCCAAAACTGCCTTCCTGAGGCTTGGCAAGGAGAAGCCAACTCTAAGGTCCCTCATTCCCTGCTCCCCTGGCTACAATGAATCCAAGAATATCATTCAGTCACAGATTTTAGAAAGTCCTCAGGGCATCCTCCAGGACTTTACTCTTTTGAGCTTAGAGAAGGGGGTTCCTATGGGGGAGTCCCTGCACTCCTCTGCAGCCTGAGAGAGGGCGCTGATGTGGATCACTTAACCATATAAAAGTGTGTTATATTTGTTATGTTGCACTTGTTTAATTATGTAAAGACATGCTGCTGTTTCACCTTGCCTATCGAAGACACCAGATTGGTCTAATAAAAAGCTGACCGGTAGAGGCTGGAGATATGCCTCAGAGGTTAAATAAGAACCCTGGCTGCTCTGTTAGAAATACTGCATTCAATTTTCAGCAACCACATGGTGGCTCAAAATCATTTGTAATGAGACCTGGTGCCCTCCTCTGGCCTGCAGACAGAACACTGTATACATAATAAATAAATCTTTACCGAAAACAAATAAAAAAACAGAACAAACAAACAAAAACACCACAATAGCTGGCAGTAGAGGGATAGCAGGAACCGTTAGGCACAGAGAACAAGCAGAAGGAAGCTAGGCTCTGGAGAATAGGGAGAGGAGAGCGAGGGAGAAAGAAAGTGGGGCACCCAGGGCCAGGAACAGCCACCAGTAGGTCACCAGCTAAGAGCTAATGGTACAAGCATAAGCAAAGGCTGAGCGTTCTTAACTAAATCAAGTCTCCCTTCACGATTTGGGAGCTGGTTGGTGGTCCAAAGAAAAGACCTGCTTCAGGGAGCAGTGAAGCCAATGGGCTGGAGGCTGTTCCCCCTCTCTCCTCATGGTGGACTCACCTCTGTTGTCCCTCTGTCTCCTCATTTCTCTCAGATTGTCCTGCCTGCTCCAAGGCCTGGGCCTCTCTCTGGGTGATGTTGTGTTTCCAGCTGGTGAGATGGAGATGATTTGGGGGATGAGCCGACTGGAGGAACAGTTGGAAGTCCCCCACCCAGGGACACTGACATCTTTGATACCTCAACAGTAGGAGCAACAGTGCCTCTTCCTCTACATCCTAAATCCCTACCCCCCACAACTGCTTGTGTTCAGTTGCCTCCATCACGGAGTGCTCTTCAAAATCCACCAGGCTGAGGAAACAGCAGCACAACAACGTTTGGCGTAGGTTGGGAGAAGCACAATGGTGATTTAGAGAGTCCGAAGCCAACAGGCAACCCAGCTCCTTTTGCCTTCATCTCCAGACCTCTAGGGTCCCTCTGGGGTTTCTACACTCTTCTCTGGTTCTTCTTAGAAATAAAGGACAGGCCGGGCGGTGATGGCGCACACCTTTAATCCCAGCACTTGGGAGGCAGAGGCAGGCAGATCTCTGTGAGTTCGAGACCAGCCTAGTCTACAAGAGCTAGTTCCAGGACAGGCTCCACAACCACAGGGAAACCCTGTCTCAAAAAAGAAAAAAAAAAGGAAAAAAAAAGAAAGAAAGAAAAGAAAAAGAAAAAAGAAATAAAGGACAGGAGAACACCTCTACCTCCTCCTCACTGACTAAAAGGTGTCTGTGGAGTTGTGCATATCACTGTCTGTATGGTCTCCTAGGAGGTGGTGTGAACAAAGCTAAGTTTGGTGTCAGTACTGGAGGGGTGCAGGCAGTTACTTACTCGATCTTCTTCCCCTTCTGGGCCAGCAGCCAGTTCACAAACTCATGTTGGCGGATCTTGTCCATGAGGATGCTGTAATCGCTGATTAAAGTCCCCTCTGCATACCTCGGGCCTCGAGGCCGGAGGCCACCTGATTTATCTTGGGATCTGAGAGGCAAGAGATAAAAACCAGGATCCCAAGGATGGGAAAAAGATTGAGGAAATCACATTGCTTGATTAAGTCCTTAGGTTCAGCGTAACAAAATAAACTAAACTGGCCAGAGAGTGCATGCCTGTAATCCCAGTACTTGGAAGGCAAAGGCAGGAGGATCACTGAAAGTTCAAGGACAGTCTATACTATGTGACGAGAGATCATCTCAATAATAGTAAGAGTGAAGTAATAACAATAGTATTCAGCACTCAGGGGGGCAGAGACAGACCAAGCTCTGTGAGTTCAAGGCCAGCCTGGTCTGCACAGTGAGTATCAGGACAGTTAGAGCTATAGAGAAAGACCAAGTCTCAGAAAAATATCAATAATATGAATAAATCAGGGTGGTGGTGGCCCAAGCCTTTAATTCCAGCACTAGGAGTCAGAAGCAGGGGGATCTGTTTGAATTTGAGGCCAGCCTGGTCTACAAGAGCTATCTCCAAAGCTACAGATAAACCCTGTCTCAAAAAAAAAAAAGCAAAAACCAGGTGTTGAAGTGAAGTCTCAGAGGCTAAGAGGACCATCAGCTCTACCAGAGGACCCAAGTTCAATTCCCAGCACCCACATGTCAGCTAATAACTGTAACTACAAGATTTAACATTCTCACACATACATGCAGGCAAAACATGAAAGAACATAAAAATAGAGATGAGTAAATTAAAATAATTATAATAATAGTGAACTCAGGGAATGGTTGGATTATTTGGTGAATAAAGGGGTTTGGTATCAGTCCTGACAACTTGAGTTCAACTCGCAGGACCCATATGGTACAAAAACTAAAAAATAATAATAATAACAATAAATGATTCCATCCCAACCCTACGAGACATACTGTTTGTATCCCTGCTCCTTTTTTGTTTTGTTTTTGTTTCTTTTCTTGTTTTTCAAGACAGGGTTTCTCTATGAAACACACTTTGTAGACCAGGCTGGCCTCAACCTCACAGAGATCCACCTGCCTCTGCCTCCCTAGTGCTGGGATTAAAGGCGTGCGCCACCACCGCCCTATGAGAATGGGGTATGAGGGAGTCCCAGCCCTCCTCTGCAATCTGAGAGAGGGCGCTGTTGTAGATCACTTAACCATGTAAAAGTGTGTTCCATTTGTTTATGTTGCACTTGTTTAGTTATGTAAAGACATGCTGCTCTTTCACCTTACCTGCAGAAGACACCTGATTGGTCTAATAAAAAGATGGCTGCCAAGGATGGAGAGATGACTCAGAGGGAATAACTAGCCCTGGCTACTCTACCAGAGGTCCTGCATTTAATACCCAGCAATGACATGGTGTCTCACAACCATCTTTAATGAGACCTGGTGCCATCTTCTGGCCTGTAGGCAGAACACTGTATACATAATAAATCAATCTTTTTTTGTTTTGTTTTGTTTTGTTTTTTTTGTTTTGTTTTTTGTTTTTTTTTTTTTTTTTTTCGAGACAGGGGTTTCTCTGTGGCTTTGGAGCCTGTCCTGGAACTAGCTCTGTAGACCAGGCTGGTCTCGAACTCACAGAGATCCGCCTGCCTCTGCCTCCCGAGTGCGGGAATTAAAGGCATGCGCTAAATCAATCTTTAATAAAAAACAAAACAACCAAAAAACCCCAATGACTTGGCAGTAGGAAGATAGCAGGAACTGTAGGGCAGAGAGAACAAGTAGATGGAATCTAGGCTCTGGAGAAGAGGATAAAGAGAACAAGGAAGAAAGAAAGAGAGTCACCCAGGGCAGTCAGCTCGTCAGTTGCCAGCTAAGAGCTAATGGTACAAGCATAAGCTAAGGCCAAACATTCATAACTAAATCACGTCTGCCTTCACGATTTGGGAGCTGGTTAGTGGTCCAAAGAAAAGACCTGCTTCAGGGAGCAGTGAAGCCAATGGGCTGGAGGCTGTTCCCCCTCTCTCCTCATGGTGGACTCACCTCTGTTGTCCCTCTGTCTCCTCATTTCTCTCAGATTGTCCTGCCTGCTCCAAGGCCTGGGCCTCTCTCTGGGTGATGTTGTGTTTCCAGCTGGTGAGATGGAGATGATTTGGGGGATGAGCCGACTGGAGGAACAGTTGGAAGTCCCCCACCCAGGGACACTGACATCTTTGATACCTCAACAGTAGGAGCAACAGTGCCTCTTCCTGCACATTCTAACCCCCCAAACCCCACCGTGACTGCTTGTGTTCAGTTGCCTCCCTCACGGAGGGCTCCTCAGAATCCAGCAGGCTGGGGAAATAGCAGGACAACAAGACTTAGCATAGGTTGGGAGAAGCACAATGGTGATTTGTTTAAAGAGTCTGAAGCCAACAGGCAACCCAGCTCCTCCTGCCTTTATCTCCACACCTCTGGGGTCCCTCTGGGGCTTCTACACTCTTCTCTTGTTCTTCCCCTTAGAAATAAAGGACAGGAGAACACCTCATCTGCACAGACATCGCTAGTGCCCAGTCAGAGTCTCAGGACATGGCAACTGCCTCCTCCTTGCTGACTAAAATGTCTATGTGAGGTTGTGCACCTCATGGTCTGTATGGTCTCCTAGGAGGCGGTGTGAACAAAGCTGAGTTTGGTGTCAGTACTGGAGGGGTGCAGGGAGTTACTTACTCGATCTTCTTCCCCTTCTGGGCCAGCAGCCAGTTCACAAACTCGTGTTGGCGGATCTTGTCCATGAGGATGCTGTAATCACTGATTAAAGTCCCCTCTGCATACCTCGGGCCTCGAGGCCGGAGGCTACCCGATTTAGCCTGGGATCTGAGAAGCACGATATAGAAACCAGGATCCCAAGGATGGGAAAAAGGTTGGGGATATCACATTGCTTGATTAAGTCCTTTGGTTCAATGTAAGAAAGTGAACTCAACTGGCCCTCAGAGTGCATGCCTGTAATCCCAGTACTTGGAAGGCTGAGGCAGGAGGATCACTGAAAGTTCAAGGCCAGTCTATATTATGTAACAAGACTGGCTCAAAAGCTACAGAGAAACCCTGATGGAGGAGGGTCATTAGTCTATGCCTTACTTTCATTGGTTAATAAAGAAACTGCCTTGGCTTTGATAGGAGAGCAGCTTATTTAGGCAGAGTAGACAGAACAGAATTCTGGGAAAAAGGCAGTGAAGCAGTCGCCACACCTCTCCTCTCCGAGATGGATGCAGGTTAAGAATATTCCTGGTAAAATACCACCTCGTATCTTTCAAGATGTGAAAGTTAGCCAATAAGAGGCTACAGATAACGGGCCAAGCAGTGTTTAAAAGAATACAGTTTCCGTGTAATTATTTCGGGTAAAACCATTCCAATTACTACAAAACCCTGTCTCAAAAACACACACACACAAAAAAAAAAACAACAACAAAAAAAAACAGGTGTTGAAGTGATAGCTCACTTTGTAGAGCAGGCTGGTCTCAAACTCAACAGAAATCCACTTGCCTCTGCCTTCCTAGTGCTGGGATTAAAGGTGTGTGCTACCTTTATTTTAATCCTTTTTAGAATTTATTTTTATTTTATGCTCATTAGTCTTTTGCCCTAATGGATGTCTGTGTGAGGGCATCAGATCCCAGGAACTGGAGTTAGACTGACTTGTCATGAGGACAACCAGTGCCCTTAACCATGGAGCATCTCTCCAGGCCTACCCTCTCCTTTTTTTTTTTTTTTTTTTGGTTTTGTGAGACAGGGTTTCTCTGTAGCTTTGGTGCCTGTCCCAGAACTAGCTCTTGTAGACCAGGCTGGCCTCGAACTCCCAGAGATTCACCTGCCTCTGCCTCCCAAGTGCTGGGATTAAAGGCATGTGCCACCACAGCCCGGCTTCCCCTCTTCTTTTATGTGGTGGTGGAATCAAACCCAGGACCTTGGCAGGTGGGGTGGTGGCAAGTGTTTGTAACTCCAGTTCCAGTGTGCCCGACAGCCTCACACAGATATACATGCAGACAAAACACCAACGCACACAAATAAAGATTGAAAAAAGTTTTACCGGGCCGGGCGATGGTGGCGCACGCCTTTAATCCCAGTACTCGGGAGGCAGAGGCAGGCGGATCTCTGTGAGTTCGAGACCAGCCTGGTCTACAGAGCTAGTTCCAGGACAGGCTCCAAAGCCTCAGAGAAACCCTGTCTCGAAAAACCAAAAAAAAAAAAAAAAAAAAAAAAAAAGTTTTACCACTCTTAGCCTCGTGCGTGGTGGGGCACAGCATTATTCCCAATATTAGGGATTAAAGCTTGGCAGTGACACAGCTTACCCACCCACCTCTAACAGCATCACAGACTGCATCCCAGTGACCCCGGAGAGACCGTCCCTGAGCATCCATTCATCACTTCTTCCCAGAATGGGAGGCTGATTTCAGGGGTCTGGCTTTGGGAGAATGCCCTGGTCTCCAAAACTGCCTTCCTGAGGCTTGGCAAGGAGAAGCCAACTCTAAGGTCCCTCATTCCCTGCTCCCCTCACTACAACGAATCCAAGAATATCATTCAGTCACAGATTTTAGAAAGTCCTCAGGGCATCCTCCAGGAAATCACTCTTTGAGCTTAGAGAAGTGGGTTTATTTTGTTTGTTTGTTTTATTTTTGAAGTTTTTGTATGTTTGTTTTCTCAAGGCAGGGTTTCTCTGTAGCTTTGGTGCCTGTCCTGGAACTAGCTCTTAGACCAGGCTGTCCTCTACCTCAAAGAGATCCACCTGGTTCGGCCTCCTGAAAGCCAGGATTTAATGCAGGCGTGCACCACCACCTCCCAGCGAGAAGGGGGTTCCTATGAGGGAGTCCCAGCCCTCCTCTGCAATCTGAGAGAGGGCGCTATTGTGGATCACTTAACCATATAAAAGTGTGTTCCATTTGTTTATGTTGCACTTGTTTAATTATGTAAAGACATGCTGCTGTTTCACCTTGCCTGTCTAAGACACCTGATTGGTCTAATAAAAAGATGGCTGCCAAGGATGGAGAGATGACTCAGAGGGAATAACTAGCCCTGGCTGCTCTTCCAGAGGTCCGGCATTTAATACCCAGCAACAACATGGTGGCTCGCAACCATCTTTTATGAGACCTGGTGCCATCTTCTGGCCTGTGGGCAGAACACTGTATACATGATAAATAAATCTTTATAAAAAAATAAAATAAACCAAGCTTTCAATAGAAGGATAGCAGGAACTCTCAGGCACAGAGAAGAGGGAGAAGAGAACGAGGAAGAAAGAAAGAAAGAAAGAAAGAAGGAAAGAAAGAAAGAAAGAAAGAAAGGCACCAAGGGCCAGTTAGCCCATCAGTCACCAGCTAACTGCCAGCAGCCAGACACAGCTTAGGAAAAGGAAAAAAGCCTTGAAGAAAAATGTAGCTGAAGAGAAACAGGTTAAGTTATAAGAGCTAATGGTACAAGCATAAGCTAAGGCTGAGCATCATAACTAAATCAACTCTCCCTTCATGATTTGGGAGCTGGTTGGTGGTCCAAAGAAAAGACCTGCTACAGGGAGCAGTGAAGCCAATGGGCTGGAGGCTGTTCCCCCTCTCTCCTCATGGTGGACTCACCTCTGTTGTCCCTCTGTCTCCTCATTTCTCTCAGATTGTCCTGCCTGCTCCAAGGCCTGGGCCTCTCTCTGGGTGATGTTGTGTTTCCAGCTGGTGAGATGGAGACGATTTGGGGATGAGCCGACTGGAGGAACAGTTGGAAATCCCCCACCCAGGGACACTGACATCTTTGATACCTCAACAGTAGGAGCAACAGTGCCTCTTCCTCCACATCCTAACCCCCTAAACCCCACCGTGAGTGCTTGTGTTCAGTTGCCTCCCTCACCGAGGGCTCCTTAGAATCCACCAGGCTCAGGAAACAGCAGCACAATAAGATTTAGCTTAGATTGGGAGAAGCACATCGTGATTTATTTAGAGAGTCTGAAGCCAACAGGCAACCCAGCTCCTCCTGCTTTCATCTCCGGACCTTTAGGGTCCCTCTGGGGCTTCAACGCTCTTCTCTATTTCCTCCCCTTACAAATAAAGGACAGGAGAACAACTCATCTGCACAGACATCTCTATTGCCCAGTCAAAGACACAGGACATGGCCACTACCTCCTCCTCACTAAAAGGTGTCTGTGTCACAGTTTGTATGGCCTCCTAGGAGGTGGTGTGAACAAAGCTGAGTTTTGGGTGGGGACAGGAGGAGTGCAGGGAGTTACTTACTCGATCTTCTTCCCCTTCTGGGACAGCAGCCAGTTTACAAACTCATGTTGGCGGATCTTGTCCATGAGGATGCTGTAATCACTGATTAAAGTCCCCTCTGCATACCTCGGGCCTCGAGGCTGGAGGCCACCTGTTTTAGCCTGGGATCTGAGAGGCAAGAGATAGAAACCAGGATCCCAAGGATGAGAATAAGGTTGGGGACGTCACAATGCTTAATTAAGTCCTCTGGTTCAGAGTCACAAACTGAACCCAACAGGCCATGAGAGTGCATGCCTGTAATCCCAGTACTTGGAAGGCAAAGGCAGGAGGATCACTGAAAGTTCACGGACAGTCTGTACTATGTAACGAGAGATCAACTCAATAATAGTAAGAGTGAAGTAATAACAATAGTATTCAGCACTCAGGGGGCAGAGACAGACCAAGCTCTGTGAGTTCAAGGCCAGCCTGGTCTGCACAGTTAGAGCTACAGAGAAAGACCAAGTCTCAAAAAAATATCAATAATATGAATAAATCAGGGTGGTGGTGGCCCACACCTTTAATTCCAGCACTAGGAGTCAGAAGCAGGGGGATCTGTTTGAATTTGAGGCCAGCCTGATCTACAAGAGCTATCTTCAGGACAGGCTCCAAAGCTACAGAGAAACCCTGTCTCAAAACAACCAAAAAGAAAAAATAAAAAAAGAAAAAACCAGGTGTTGAAATTTTGGCTTAGTGGCTAAGAGGACCATCAGCCTTACCAGAGGACCCAGGTTCAATTCCCAGCACCCACATGTCAGTTAATAACAGTCTGTAACAACAAGATCTGAAACTATCACACACACATAGAGGCAAAAACCAAAAAACATAAAAATAGGGATAAGTAAATCATTAAAATAATAATAGTGAACTCAGGGATTGGTGAGATTGTTTGGCAAATAAAGGGGTTTGCTGGGCTGAAGAGATGGCTCAGAGCTTGAAAGGATGGGCTGTTTTCTAGAGGTTCTGAGTTCAATTCCCTGCAACCACATGGTGACTAGCAACCATCTGATGAAATCTGGTGCCCTCTTTTGGCCTGCAGTTATACCTGCAGGAAGAATGCTGTGTACATAATAAATAAAAAAATCTTTTTTAAAAAATAAAGAAATAAAGGGGTTTGCTATCAATCCTGACAACCTGAGTTCAACCCGCAGGACCCACATGATAGAAAAACTAAAAAAAAAAAGAATAATAATAACAATAAATTATTCCTCCCAACCCCATGAGACATGCTCTTTTTCTCACTGCTCCTTTTTTTGTTTTGTGTTTGTTTTCTTGTTTTTCAAGACAGGATATCTCAGCGAAACTGTCCTAGCTGACCCAGAGCTCACTTTGTAGACCAAGCTGGCCTCAACCTCAACAGAGATCCACCTGCCACAGCCTTTCTAGTGCTGGGATTAAAGATGTGTGCCACCTTGATTTTAATCGTTTTTAAAATTTATTTTTATTTTATGCACATTAGTGTTTTGCCTGCATGGATATCTGTGTGAGGGCATCAGATCCCCGGGACCTGGAGTTAGACTGACTTGTCATGAGGGTGCTAGGAACTGAGTCCTCAGGAAGAGCAACCAGCGCTCTTAACCACGGAGCATCTCTCCAGCCTTCCCCTCTCCTTTTACGTGGTGGTGGAATCAAACCCAGGACCTTGGCAGGTGGTGGTGGCAAATGTCTGTAACTCCAGTTTCAGTGTGCCTGACAGCCTCACACAGATATACATGCAGACAAAACACCAATGCACATAAATAAAAATTAAAACAAGGTTTCACCACTCTTAGCCTCGTGGGAGGTGGGGCACACCTTAATCCCAGTAGTAGGGAGGCAGAGGCACGCAGATCTCTGAGTTCAAGACCAGCCTGGTCTACAGAGTGAGTTCGAGGACAAGGACAACCAGGACTACACAGAGAAACCCTGTCTTGAACCACCACCACCACCACAAGTTTGACTAGTTTCTGTGTCCCTATTTTGTAAATGAGACACTTGCCATCCAAGGACACAAGTCTGACGATCTGAGTTCAACCCAGAAGGCACAAAGAGGTGGTAGAAGAGAAAGAACTCTACAGAGGTGTCCCCTGGCCACCACTTTGCTGCCACACAGTATAAATGGCTGATCTGGGATTCAGCTAGTTAATTTGATCCCAGGTTCCTGGGACGGACCCAAGTCTGTTGTCTCAATTCTAGGGGTAGAATTTGTGGGTCTCATGCATGCTAGGTAAGACTGAGGCGTGTTCCCCAGCCCCAACCCTCTGAGATTTTTGTTGTTGCTGTTGTTTTGTTTAAGAGTGGTTTGTTATGGTCTCTTGTATTCCAGCTTGCCTCAAACTCACTGTGTTACTGAAGTTCCCCGTGAACTCCTGATCTCGCTGTGCCCTCTCACTTGTTCTGGGAGGTAGGCAGCACCACACTGACTTCCTGAGTCTCTGTTCTCTCTTTGATACAGGGTCTCATTCTTTAACCCTGGCTGGAACTCACAGCCTGCCTCTGTCTCCAGAGCACAGGAATTAAAGACGTGTGCTACCATTGTTGTCAGTGAGTTTTCTTTTCTTGTAGTTGTTTTGTTGGTATTTTTATTTTTGTTTTGTTTTATGAGACAGGGTTTCTCTGTGTAGCCCTGGCTGTGTTGGAACTCTCTCTGTAGACCAGTTGCTCTTGAACTCAGAGATCTGCCTGCCTCTGCTTGCTGAGTGCTGGGTTTAAAGGCATGGACCATTACTGCCCGGTCTGAGTCTTTGTTCTTAACAAACTCAAGGTCTGCTCTCCTTGTAAGGATGTCTGCCAGCTTTCCCTCACACTTCCCACGTGCCAGCTTTGTATCATATATGGATTGTCCTTCATCTGAGAAAAGCCGGTACTGCTTTGACAAGTCTCAGCCTTGGTCCCCAAACACATCAGAGCCCTGGCTATACTTACCCTCAACTTCTCCTCCTCCTCCTCATTCTTCTCTTTCTCTCACTCTAGACTCTGGTCTTGCTTTATAGCCCAGGCTAGCCTCAAACTTTCAATGCCCCTGCCTCTGCCTGCCAAGGACTGGAGTTGCAGGAGCGAGCTGCCACACTCAGCACGACACTGTCTGCCTTGGCATTGGTCCGCTGGAGCATGGTTATGTGGTCCGTGTCTGTGCCTACCTTGGTCCCTGTAGTCACTGAAGGCAGTAGCCAGCAGTGGCCCTTGGTTTACAACTGTCTGCCCTGCGTCTGGTGCCCAGGAAGCTCCTGTGAGATCCCAGTGAATGCATACATGCATCAGCGACGGCTAGTTATCCCAAGGGACACCCTACACTGCAGACTCTCTGCCACCAAAAGGGCCTTCCTCAGACCTGGCAAAGCACAGTCTTCCTCACTCCCACGGGAACTCTTAATACATAACTCTCCAGTTTTGTCCTCATTGTGTGCTCAGGCTGCAGACTGGCTCTCCCTCCAATCCCTCCACTCCCTCCGCTCGGCATGGAGTCCCTCTCTTTTTCAACACCCCCACCCCAATGCAGTTTATATTTTAGCCCCCTCCACCTCCCAATCCTACCTGAATTGAACTTCTTCTTCTCCCAGTGTGGTCGCCAGGAAGAGCAGCACCAGCGGGAGAGGGCAGATATTCATAGTCACCATCTTCCTAGGTTGTGTGCTCGAGCTGAGAGGAAAACAAGTCATACTGCAATCAGGGGGGGGGGGGCGGGGGATCAGGGAGGCTACTTGAGGCTGGGACTTGGGTGAATGCTGAGAGCTGGGGTGGGGTTACACGAAGTGACTGGAAGGGACATGAGCCTTGACCCAGAGCTGGTCCCGCTTTGTGTAATCTGAAGCAAGGACTAGGAAGAAAGTAGCAAAGGCCTAGGTGGTGGGAACTCCCTTCTTGGCTCATTACCAGACATCACAGGGATAGGATTTGGCAAGATTATCCCCTTAAAGCCCTGACAAAGTTCTCAGCAGCCCACCTTCCTGCTTCCAACAAACTGTTTTCAGCCATCATATCCCTCCCCGAGATGAAAGGTACACAGAGAACCATCCTGAACACACACACACACACACACACACACACACACACACACACACCGTCTTGGGCTTGACTATCGTGGCTCAGCAGTTCTTCCTAAAGGTTGGGCTGAGCTTCTTCTGTGGTCTCATCCCTTTTCAATCTTCTGGAGAAACAGCAGGCAGGAAGAAACCTTCCCCCAGATCCCTGAGGGCCAGAGCTAGCCTAAGGCTGCGAGACCTGGTCTTCCTAGGAATCCCTTTGAACTATCTTCTAGATTCCCATTCAGACAAGGAATCAAGGTAAAGAGCCAGGAGAGCCACTTCCGCCCAGACCAGCCCATCACTCTCCCAGCCTCTCTCTTACCCGACTGCTCTTCCAGCTTTTCCACAGGGCAGGACAGGGTCTCTCCCTTCTACCTGCTGGCTCACAGGATCCTGCTTCAAGACCCTGTCTTGGCCTCTTTTTATCCAAGCACCACAGAGGCACTGATTAGCCTGGAAGCCTCTTATCTCGGGGACTCTTGCCCACTGCTTCTGCCTGGTGAAACCCACTGTAACCTAATGATGCTTACCTTTCTACCTGGGCTGTGCTAATGGGTGATTAACATTTGGGTATCTCCAGCCCTATCTGGAGCCTGCCTGGTGGGCAGAGAGGCTTGTGGCCCTCATTTTCCCTCCCCTCTTCTTTTGTGGGCACAGGGCTCACTGTTCTCTGCCCTCCTTCCTGTTGGGTGCTGTGGGTGGAAAGGGTCATCTTGGTGACCGCCAACTGAGCCAGCACCCTGTAATGGAGCAGGCAGCCCCACAAAGCCATCTGTGACTTCTGGGGTAACAGGAGGGACCATGCAGGGTCTGAATTCCAGGTACGGATATTAACTGTTAATGGTGGCACTGTGGAGAGAAGGCTGCCAGAGGAGGTGTCTTAGGAATTCCTAATGATTCTGGTGAACTGGAGTTTAAGGCCACATGGTTTCCTCCTTGGGGCAGTGTAACATAGAAATATGTTGGAGGCTTCAGAAAGATCTAACTCCCTCTCTCCTCAAAGTGTTGTTTTAGATGCACAGCCCAGGCTGATCTCATTTGATTTGTAGCTGATGCTGTCCTTGAACCCTGATCTTCTCCCCTCTACCTCGTAGGCACTAAGATTGTGCATTGCTAAGGCTTCATCCACGCTAGTAGGCAAGCATGCTCCCTGGGCTCGTCCATGTTAGGCAAGCATGCTCCCAGGTGTTACATCCCTAGTGCCCTGTGAAGACTGATGAACCAATCACTGAGGAGCATGCCTGTACTCAGGAGGCTGAGGAAGGAAAGTTGCTGAGAATCTGGGGCCAGACTGGGCTATACAATGAAACCATTTTAAAATTAAAAAATACCTGGGTGTTGGTGATGCATATCACTAATCCCAAGTGAGTAGTAGGCCAACCTGGTCTACAGAGAAAGTTACAGGACGGCCAGAGCAATACAGAGAAAACCTGTCTCGAAAAACATTAATAAATAGATTAATTAATTAATTAATTAACCTATTAATTAACTAGCTAATTAACTATAAGGCCAGACAAAGCACTCTGGAGGCAGAAACAGGCAGATCTCTGAGTTCGAGGCCATGCTGGTCTAAAGAGCTAGTTCCAAGACTGCCAGAACTGCACAGAATGACCCTGTCTCATACAGCAAAACAAACAAAAAAGTTTAAAAGTATTTTAAAAGGCCAGGTGTGGTGGTGCACACCTTTAATCCCAGCACTCAGGAGGCAGAAGCAGGCACATCTTTCTCTTCCAGGCCAGCCTGGTGTACAGAGTGAGTTCCATGATAACCAGGATTACACAGAGAAGCCCTGTCTTGAAAAAGAAATTTTTTTTTTTAAACCTGAGCCCCTCCTCAATGGACAAAGCCTGTCATCCTCTCCATCCTGCGTCTCCACGGGGCCCTCTGAGGTAACTTCATCCTTCTGAGCTCTGACACAGGGCCTGCTACCTTTTGTCAGTCTGAAGGCCCTCTAGGAGAAGCCCAGACAGTGGGACCACGTCCTCTCAGGAGAGGGAGGTTTCCTGAGGTTCAGGGCTGTCTCCCCCTCAGTCCAAAAACTCTTCAAAAACTTGTTTTGCCTTTCCACAAGGACTTAGAACCTGGCTCTGCCCATAGGGCTCAGACTCCATTTTGACAGTCCCGAAAGTCCTTTTTCTCGGGCCCTCCTTCTTCACCCATCCTGGTTATTGGAACCTTTACCCCAGAAGCCTGCTGTGCTGCCTATAGCTTCAGGGCCTAATCTAGGTAACTCTGTTTCCCTGCTGGCCTCTGTGGAAGATCCAGGAGGGAGTTAAGTGCCCCTGTGGGATGAGAGGTCGCTGGACTGGAAAGACTGCTCCTTCTGCCTCCTGGAAACCTCACCTGCCTACTCAGCCATCACCCCTCCTCTTACAACCTTCTTCCCTGGAAGCAAGTTCTGCATGGCATCTCCCAGCTACCAACAGGCTGCGATAAGATATCAGGGCAGATTTAGTCTCCAGAGTGGAGGCAGGGGCTGCCTGAGATCTTGTATCCTGCTCAGCAACATAGCTAATGGGCTTGTGGGGTTTGCATCAAAGCCTTGGTACTCTTGTCTGAAGGGGGAGGATATCCAAAAAGAGTAGACACCATTGTCTGGTCCCTATAATCTGGTGTGAAAGCAAAGAAAAGGAAAGCCCTGTGGTCAGTTCCCAAGACCACGAGAGTCCAGGGACATGTCAATGTATTCTGAGACTGCACCTTCGCTCCCCTTCTGCCAGCCTGTGTAGCCACGTCTCCCATTTGTCCCTTGATTTCTTTGTTGTTACTGTCGTTCATGTTGGCCTCAAATTTATGGTAATTCTCCTTCCTCAACCTTTCTTGCATTGGCAATACAGGGGTGTGTCACTATATCCAGTTTGTTTGAGACAGGCCTGAGTGGTTCTCAGGTAGCCCAGCTTGGCCTCAGACTAACTAACTCCTTGTCTGGCTGAGAATGGTTTTGGCTTTCTGACTGTCTTGCGGCCATTTCCCAAGTATTGGATTACAGGTACGCACTACCACATCCAATTTTTTCTGTTTTGTTGTTGTTGCCTTTTTGTGTGTTGTCTAAAAAAAGTAGAGAAGCCAATCCTGAGAAGTGTCTGAAAATTGGAGATTTTTTTTTCCCTTTTTAATTGTGGTGCTGAAGATCAGATCCAGGGCTTTGCAAATGCTACGCATGCATGCCGCACTTGGTGCCCTCGGTACAGGCTTGCAAGACTTGAGCAAAATAGGTCCATCAATCCAAGCCACGAGGCAGCCCAGCATGCCAGTCTACAGGGAGTAGATCCCTGGTGTTCAGTCTGGTGTAGTTTCAGCTCGGTGGAGGGGTTTAGGAGGAATTATAATCCCCTTTTGCCTATTTCACTGCAGAAATGTTCAGGATGTGTGGGGTCAAAGGACACAGGGACTGTGAGCCAAGAGCTTACCTTGACTCACTCCAAGCAGAGAGAAGATGGAAGATATGTCATGAGAGGAAACCCCGCCTGAAGAATCAGCGCTTCAAGATGAGGTGGAGAAAAGCTGGTGTGGTGAGTCCTGTCTGTAGTGCTTGCACTTGGAAGGCTGAGGCAGGAGAATTCCAAGTTTGAGGCTAGCCTAGACATAAAGTGAGTTCCAGGCTAGCCTGGGCTACAGCGTTCAACGTTGTCTCAACTACAGCAGAGTTTTCGCCCAGAGTCCTTGCTGGCTCTTCCAGCCCCAAGTGGTGACTCACCACCACCTCCCCATACAGAAGCCACAGACATTCCAGGTCCAGCCTGCGTCATTGGCCTTCTGACTGAGAGCAGGTCTTCTGGCCTGAGACTCTGCTTTGGGTCCCCTTGTCTCCAGATCCCCTGGCTGACTCAGGAAACCCACATCCCTTTCTGATCCCTCATCTGCCTCCTGCAGAGCAGGGGACCAGAGGTGACACAGTGACTGCTGATCCATCATTGGTTCTCCGGATTCCCACAAGGACCCCCAGCAGAATCACTAACAGCTTCCCCATCCCATTGTCTAGCTCTCTAGATGAAAATAGTCCTTTCCAGAGGGCTCGTCAGAAAAAACAGACTACCTACAATCTTCCCTGGCCAGCTAGTGTAAGGAATCCGCTGAGGTACTCAGCTCAGGGCCTGGGCAGGTAGTGAGTTGATAACCTAGTGAATGAAGACCAGCATTTGAGCTTTTTTTGTTTGTTTATTGGTTTTTTGAACCAGGGTTTCTCTTTGTAGCCCTGGCTGTCTAGCAACTTGCTCTGTAGACCAGGATGGCCTTGAACTCAGAGAACAGCCACTTCTGTCTCCCAAGTGCTGCCATTAAAGGCTTCTACCACCTCTGCCCTTCTCCTACATCTGAAACCCAGCAATACATAAACTTTGTGTGGTGGCATAGGCCCGTAATCTTATCCCTTAGGTTCAGAGGTTAGAAGATCAGAAGTTCAAGTTCATTCTCAGCTAGGTAGTGGGCTTGAGACTAACCCCGGACTCTATGAGACATTCTCTCAAAAACACAGAAAAAAGAACACAAAAACAAAAACAACTACCCAATAACAAAATTCACTGCCCAGTAGCTCACAAACTGCAAGTAACTCTAGCTCTAGTGGATCTGAAAACCTCTTTTGATTTCTGTGGGTACCTCACCCACTAT